AAGGGTGTAGATTAACTGCTAGTAATGTGTTACTATCTAGTACAAGAGTCTGCAGGTAAATATTACATTCGGGCCAATGTGATCATGCCACGTCGACTGACCATATAAAAAAACTGGCAAACAATTCATTTTATTAAGTGTTGACACTACAGATTATGAGCCCCTCGTATAATTCTCCTTCTTTCGTACACATGACTGACCAACCACATATGTACATTATTACGTCGAACGTGACTTCTGTCACCTTTAATTTGAACAAAAGCAATTTTGTGTTCTTACATCTGAAAACCACGTCATTATTATCAAGGATGCCGTAATAGAGTGCTCCAAAAATTTACACCTCCTGGGGCCCCTAAACTTGCGCCTAAAGTTAAGTATATGGATATGCCTTCATCGTCGTTTGTTCCACTTTACTTCACATTGTATTTCATCTCCGAAAACAGTCTTTGCTGCGAATTTCTTATGATGTTTATGTCAGTGCCACACCGACCATTTCAAAATGAAAGCACCGAAGCAACTTGCCTGCATCGCCATCCACTATAGTGTCCACAGCGTCGTCCGCTTGCGTCCTCGGAATGATCCTGGCAAATGGCTCACCAGACGAAAACTCCCAACACACCAACGTTCGCTAAATATTGACGTTATTTTTTTCCCTACATAGCGACGCAATGTACATGTGCTCAAGACAGCTGCACCTCTACTGGTCGTCCCCTAGAAATCGAAAGGTGTAATGGATGGTCTTTAAGGGGGCGCACAGCAGGTTCTGTCGATGGCCGATTACCTTCTGTGGTTGCTCAAGAGCAGATGATATTCATTAAGCGATGATACTCGTTAAAACAAAAAAAACGACGAAGTTATGGAGGCATGCGCCCCGCTACTGGCATGTGCGACAATAAGACGCTGGCGCCGCTGCCAAAAGGAACACACGCCTGGACGACGCCCGGCGTGAAAGTGCAATCTCCTGGTCTTCCCCGAGATTCAGCCAAGCAGTGATGAGGGCTGGCAGGCACGCTCTGAGTACAAAGTTGCTTGCCTTTCTCGTCGACGCACCTTTCATTTGATTGGCCTCTCCGTCTTTCTATTCGTTCTGCATTGCGCGAACGAATGCCAGAGAAAAAAAAAAACACTTTCTGTTTCAGTCGCGTGCGCTTTGGGCGATCTTAGTCATCGCAAGACGACCAGTGCCACAAACACGCGACGTGTACTATTCGTGCCCGGTTTTCGCTCCGGTCTAAGGCTCTTGAAATGAACTTGCGCCACCCTCCCATTCATTTTGTCTTTTCCTGCACGTTTGCCGTCAACATTTCCGAGAGCTTGTTGCCATGCGCCGCTTTCCACGAACCCAGCATGCGCTTGTACAAATGTGGAAGGTGAGAAGAGGGGGAAAAGCAAGCTTGTCGCCACGTTTTCATTTCGAAGAGATAAGCTGTAGCTGGCCGCATCGACCGCGTAGTTATTAAACTTTGTTTGTTCGTCTACAAGATGGAAGCTGTCCAGCAATCGACAATTTGTAAACGCGCATTGGGCATTCCATTAACCTTTGAATCGCGCCTTTCAACCCGTACATCAATGCACACACGACTGATGAAAGTGAAAAGAAAATACGACTTGTGATTCGTGCTCAGGGCCACTCTTAATCACGTCATGTACATGCGACAATTTCTTTGTTGTTTTTGCAAACACCAACAAATGATGGTGCAGCTCGCTGATTTCACATTCATAATCGCCAGCCTCTTTTTGTGTCTACGGCAGTATGAATCCGTCTCTAAATTATTTCTAATCGGACCTGTCTTACGTGAGTTGGCTCTAATTTATTTTAACGCTGCAAGGTTAAAGAGCTAGTTCCGCAAAAACTCTGGTGTAGATGCTTTTAGTTGATTCATTTGTGGGGTTTAACGTCCCAAAACCACCATATGATTATGAGAGACGCCGTAGTGGAGGGCTCCGAAAACTTCGACCACCTGGGGTCCCCTAACGTGCACCCGAATGTGAGCACACGGGCCTCAGAATTTTCGCCTCCATCGAACATGCAGTCACCACAGCCGAGATTCGATCCCGCGATCTACACACTAAACGCAAATGACCTGAAATAACCTCAAAAACTGGGTAAACCATTTGTCCTCTAGCGCACTACCTTTCCTGGGTTTTTTTTACCACCTACTATCGAGGTAAAAATTTACTCTCGTGCTGACTGAGTTTTTGAACGTAGGGAGAGTGGTAATTATTTACCCCAGTGAGGTTTTCAGCGAGTATAGGGAGAGTAAATTTGTACTCCCTTCACAAGGTTTTTGAAGCGATTTCTGGGAGTTATTTCCTGTGGTAAAAAATAAAAATTGACAGGTGCATTCGCCCAGAGTCGACAAATTTATTGAATAGCAGAATTGATAGAATTTATTAAACGGCAGAATTTGTGACACATAGATTCACATACAGACATACAGCAACACACAACAAATGCAGAATAATACACCACTCGAACAGACTGCACGCGTTCTCAACTACAGTTTGACAATCCGGTATATATAGGCACAACTTTTTGACCGAACGTGTAGTACCGGTAGGAGAGCTCTTTTTTTGCATCGATTAACTACAACGGTTGAAGGTGCAAGCGCAAATTTAAGGTGGGCTGCAGGGCACTAAATGTCACACCGACCTTTTATTTTAAATCTACCCGATCTCACCTTTTTGAGTATCCAATAATCACCGGGCTCATGGCCCCACGCGTGTTAGCACTGCTGATGCACAAGTCCATAATATATACCTAAGTACGCACAAACCAAGGTAGCTCAATGATTTTCATTAAGCGACGGTGCACAAACACTGTGGCAGCACATATTCATCGCAACGGGCGTAGAGGAGCGGTGCACGCCTGCACACAAGCTTCTTACCGACGGCGTACTAGGCCTTTTCGAGGAGCACGGCTATCCGACGAAACACAGCTGGCGATCACAGAACACATATCATGCGCGAATTTCGTCGTTATTTCACACACAAATGAACACGTGACCGCTATCTTACGGGGACGGGGCGGTTATGCATACTTCCAACGAAAGACCACCATCCGGGTATTCTTCGTGCTCACCGGCAGCCGCTTGTTGGTTCCGTCTGCGTCGTATCGGCTTCGCGCTACATGTTTGAGAACTGTTGGTACATGAGGTGGGTGATTCGGGCAGTACTTTACTCATGCAGACATCGCCTACTGTGGAACAAAATATATGCGATGCTTCTTTCACCTGTCCCGGCGACACTCTCCCACTGGTCACTGGCGGCCGCGACTCGGGGCCGACGACAGAGTGAAGCATTTTGCCTATTGCTTCTCCAGTAGGCAAGCACGGACGATGACACCAGATTGATTTTGTTACCACTGGCAGATCTTCGCGATTCGGCACGGAAGCGAAGTATCCGCGACGTGCAGGTTCGGAGGCGCTCAAAATCGCACGGTCGCTCGATGATGTATACGAAACACGTGAGATCCATCAGCCCAACCAGACACACAGATACCGAGCTTCTTGCACCGTCTCTCTCCAAAGCCCCCACCGAGCAAAAGCCAACAATTTGCGAAAATATGCAGGACAACTTTCCACAGCGGGTTTTCTTTCTTTTTTTTCTTTTTTGAGAGCCCCCCACCCCCCTTTTTTTTTCGTTCACAGAATGCTGTTCTCGCTTGTTGGGCTTATGCTGCCCCTAGTTCCAGTGAAAGTGCATTGACTCGAGGTCAGTCCTGAGGCACGGCGATGCCAAAAAAAAAAGAAACAAAAAAACATCTGTGGTCCTGGCGTACCTTCAGAGTTCACTGAGAGCGTCACAAGGGGGGTATGGGGCAAAAGCCACCAAAGCACCTGCACCTTGCAGTCACGTGGTAATAAACTCTGAAACGCAGGTTAAAAATCACGTGATAGAAAACTCCCTACGTGGTAAAACTGGATTTTGACATCCTTTTACTACTTGCTTGAGAGGTGGTGGTAAAACTATGTCATGTACTATCTTTTACTCCTACACGAGGTAGTAAATTTAAACGCAAGAGAGTTTTCAGAGGTCAGGAGCCGCAAAAAACCCAAACTCGGATAGTTTTTGCTTACAGTGTACGGGTCAGCAGCCGAGTACCTTAGCTACTAGACCACAGTGGTGGGGTGGTGTAGATGCTTTTGTCAGCGTCATTGGTCCTGAACGAAAAATCATCTTGTCGTGGTGTAGACACCAATAAAATTGCAAATTAAAATAAAAAAAACTGTCGGCTCACGCGGCAATTCAACCCAAGCCATCTACTATATGCAAGCAGGTTATCCACCACGAGGGCACACTGCTGCTACACCATTTGAATGTCATCTTTTGAAAGGAGTCTTCTTTACGTGTGTAAATATTATTACGTGGCAGAATCGTACGAGTGTACCTGGCATGAAAACAGACCAGTCTATTGACTAATGAGTGTTTTAGAAACCCAGTTGTTACAAAGCCTTCAGGCATGGTTAAATCATCAGCTGCAAAAGCTTCAACAATACGAGCAGCTGCGTAGGTTCAGTATGTTGCCTCACTTCACTCGTTGGCGAAAGTATACGACCCTGACGTAGTGCGCACTTTACAACTGTGCGTGCAGTAGACGTTCTAGGATAGTTTTAATGGGCCAATATTAGGCGCACAATCGTTCGTTTTCTTACGGCATCGTTGAGGCATGCACTGAGAACAGAAGCCTGGCTTGCAGTTGACAAGGGCATGTACATGAGGGCCGATTACGCTATGGCATTCTATTTTTGAAGCTGAAGCTGAAGAACCCTTCAAGATTTTAAGCCCGAAAGCTCCGTAATTTCACCGCACCATCTAAATTTATAGGTAGTTCTAGAGGCTGTTCCGTAGAATACATTTTCAGTGATTCTGGCAGTGAAAGCAGACGTCATTTTCATACTTCGCTAGAAAAAAAAACTGAAATTTTCGCTAAGCTAAGTAAACAATGGCTCACAAAGAAGGAACTGCAATACTTCTTGCATTTATCCAGTCAGTGGTAGTGCAAGCGCGGCCGAGAAAAACAAGATTAGCATCTGCTTTGGCAAGCATTGTTACTTTTCGTGGAGCACTAAATCGAAGCCGCCACTCACCAAGCTCTAAAAAATACAAAAAGATTAAGCGGCCGCAATATTCTCTCCTGACATTTCTTGTCTTTCTTGCGCACTTCTGCGACGCAGACGTTATAGTTCTCCTGCCGTGTAGTGTACAAGCTCTCGATTGGTCCATAACGCGATATATCAAACCTTATTTGTATCCTGCACTATGTTCACAACTGTGCAAGCGGCGATAATGGCGCGCAGCCGAGAAGCGCGAAATCCTGATAGGCTCTAGCGCTTAGTGCTGACATTGTTGACGAGCGTTTAAGAACTAAATGGTGAAGAGAGGGCAAGGCGTGTTCGAAGGGTAGTGAAGGAGAAGAGAAAACCACCCCATCGTCATTGAACACAGGGTGGTGAGTGGCCATTTAAAGAAGCATGCGTAATATATTTAGAGTTCTTCAAATTGTGCTGTTATTAAATAAAGAGCTGACTTTCAGTTCATCCTTTTTTCATGCCAATTGAGCGGCAGTTTGGGTTAACTGTATAAAATAAGGCACTGGGTTCAGGATATATATATATACTTTGTACTGATCCACCATAACTTGTATAAGCGCTAAAGGCACTTATCGTGCTTAGGCGCTAAATTAAGGACACAGGACAAGCGCCTTTAGCGCTTCTCCTGTCTCCTTCGCTCGTCTTATGCACGTGCCTTTAGCGCTTACATAAGATATATCAAAGAACTTTCTTGCGCTTTCCTAAAAAGTTTAGGTGCGTGAGAGTTTCCGTAGCAGACACGTATACAATGGCACTGGTAATAACAGTAATTGACAGTGTTTAGCGTTCAAAAACTACCATATCGTTATGAAAGACACCGCAGTGGAGGGCTCCGGAAATTTAGACTACTTGGGGTTCTTTAACGTGCACCTAAATCTAAGCACACGGGCTTCAAGCATTTACGCCTCCATCGAAAATACGATCGCCACGGCTGTCAATCGAACCTACGACGTGTCCGTTAGCGTTCGAGCACCGGAACCAGTAGACCACCGTAGCGAATAGCATTGCACAGAAGTTATTAATATATTCTCATTTAGAGAAACGCGTGGTGATACCTATACCGAGACAACCGGCGCAAAAAATTTACAGGACAAGCGTGAAACAACGAACTAGTTTGGATTCTTAACTATAGGTGACGTCTTTCAAAGCCCAATACCCAAGACACGTGATCTTGGAGGCAATACGCCATCGCTATTTTCCTAGCGCCCACAAAAAGTTCCGTAAATACTGCTTATTTCGCTGCATTTTTCAGAACCAACAAATCAATGAAGTTGAATTGCTGAATAATAATACCGATTGTCGGTGTTTAACGTTGCAGAGCCACAATATAGTAGCCGCAGAGGAGGCTTCAGGAAATGTAGACCACCTGCAGGCATCGGTTCAACGTGAACGCAAGCCTATAAACACACAGGCCATCAATGTTCTGCCTCCATTAAACTGAGAAAAACTTTGGGGCACAAGAAAAGGAAATGATTGCACCAGTACCAACCAACAACTGATTAAGGGAAAGAACATTGCAACCGAGGTAACGTTGCGTGCATGTAGGTACCATTAACAAAGAACCATATATATATGACAAATTGTCTTTAGTTGAAAGAGTTGTCTGAAACATGCAATTTGTTGAAATGTAAATTCAATGACAAAACAGTTACACACTGCGCTCCTTTCCTATTTAATGTTAAAGGCTTCCAGCGATTCTCTCCACGTGGCCAGCACATTCCCCAATCAATGTTGCTTGCACATGCGCTGGAAATTACCTTGAATGCAATGTTCTTCCGAATAAATCTGTTGTTAGTTGACACTTGTACTGTCATATCTTCTCGTTTATTCGTACCGCCATATTTTCACAGACTGTACATCAACTATCCCAAGAACGCTTTTTAGCCTCCATTGTAATATGGCCACCATTCTCGGGATTTGATCCCGCGACCTTTGGATCAGCAGTCAAACACAATGACCACAAGGTCACCACGGTGGGTAAAAGTATAGTGAGGCGTAGTTAAGTGCACAAAACTAATGTTTTTTTTTATTGTCCTGGGCCCCCTCTTTTTTTTCTGTATTGAGTCGATTCACCATTTGCATCAACGGGTGGCACTTTCACTGCTATCGATTTCGTCACAGTGTGGGCGGCAATAGTCATCGTTTCTGAAGGGCAGCCATCTTCAGTCGGAGGCTGCGGGTCCAGAGTAGCGAAAGACAGTGATAACTTTGGGCCTGTCCTTATCGCACGCTTGCCGCCGACATTCGCTCGCCGTCAGATTCGACGTCACCGAACCCGCAGCATCTATTCTGACCGCGTGGAAGGGTGTTGTCGGGGGTCGAGACTAGGCCTACTTGCTCTAGACATGTGCACGAGGGTAAAATGACCTTGTGACTCTGCGTCCTGCCATTCAATGTTTCACGTGTTTGTGGATCAGTGCTTGTTTTCTTTCTGTTTACTAGAAAGTATTCGTGCCATGTCTCTGGAACGTGTACCACAACGTGCTTTGCACGACATTTTGGCGCGTCAACTCAAGAAGCGAACGGTAGAGCGAAGTTCTTGATATTCCCGGGTGAATGAAAGGTAAGCACGCTTTTATGGGTGTCCCTTATAAGTGTAAAATCTTCACAGTTTTTTTGCATTAACAGCTATAACATGAAAAAGAAGACGTGAGGTACGCGGTAAATTTGTGTGGTGTGAAAGAACACTGAAATTACTCAGTGAAGAGTTTGAGGAATCGCCGATGGATTTGACGCATCTGTATATCTACAGGCAAACGCTATTTTTAGTGGCAAGAATCCAGAATTTCATTGAGAGTGTTTAAATGCGTACTTCTTCGTAATAATTGTTGAAGTTTTGGTCCCGGAATTTTGATCTACAATGTGCAGCTAAACCTAAGCACACGGGGACCTCATTAGCTTTTGTCTTCGTTGAAGTACTGTTGCGACGAACGGGATTCGAACCCGAAACAACCTGGTCGAGCACCGTAGGCAGTATACCACGTGCCGTGGCAGCTCGTGCTATAGCTGCCTAGCTTCATAAGCTAGGAAGCTATAGGTTTGAAAATGCTGCGTACCACCTGTTGTTTTTGGTTAAAAATTGACCACCACCTGCGGCTTTCTCAAATGAGGATGATCAAGGAGGCTTCGTCTTCGACGCGTTGTGTACTATCCTTCGCCGGGTGCCATTGAGCGTTGCCAAAAGAAACTTTCTACACGAGTTGAAATACAGCATGGTTGACTGTTGCTTCTTATGATAGTTTCATCTGCGATGCGCCACGATTCTCGCTGTTCACGAAGGCCAGAAAATTGACTAAGAGTAGATTATAGCGGAGGTTCAGCTCTCATAAAAGCTAGTTATCATGAGTGCTCGACTGCTGATCTGAGGGTCGCGGGATTGAATCCTTGCCTTGGAGGCCGTATTTTCCACGAAGGAGAAAATTCTGTAGACCCGTGTGCACGTTGAAAAAGATCCGGGTGCACGTTGAAAAACCCCAGATGGTAGGAATCTCCGGAGCTCTTCACTACGGCGTTTCTCATACTCATGTCGTGGTTCCGGCACGTTAAATCCCATCAGGTATTTCTAATTATCAGGAACGAAAGGCACGCTTCTCTTGGCTTTGCAAAGAAATGCGATTGGGTGTACACACGCTTCTATTTTTCAAAGAAACTTTTTGAAATTAAAGCAAGGTACAGACAGCCACTGAACTTTACAGAGCACGCCACGCTCGCTTGCCAAACTGCCTGTGTACGCCACCTATCCACACGCCATCAACGAACCGCAATGCTAGACTGGTAATGAAGCTTCTTGTTATTCACTGGTATATCATTTCTCTTTTTTTTTTTGTACTGTTGCTCTGAATATCCATAACTCGTTTCCTTTTTTTTTCACACAAAGTGCTTATGTGAGGTATGCACCTCACACTTCTCATTCACTATAGCAGGACCAAAGCCACAAGGGCCGGCATCGAACGATGTGCCGTGGTGACCGTGGGCTACATTGTAAGAAATGCGACTGATAAGTTTTGCTGTTTGACTGCTCTCGAGACAGAAGACGTAATTGCGGCAGTCGAAGTGCGCAAAGCATTAAAAGTGAAAGGTGAAAAACATTAGTGGCCAGGGCGAAAATATCCAGACGATCTATTGAGGGAGGGATGCTTCTTTGGCGTAGCGCAGCTTGTCGGTTACCGCTTGCATAGCGGAAATGGAGCGAGGAGGCTCTGGGCCACAGGCTCTTGTGGTCCGTAAGCTTTTGCGTTTGACTGTACATGTATGACTCAATAACAAACTTCACGATGTAACAAATAAACTTCAGTTTCCCGGCATGGGCCGAAAAATGTTACCATCAACCCAATTTGAAGAAACTAAATGGGTCCTACAACCCGACTTGGTGAATTTTAAGGATACTTCGATGATGCTTCAGCGTCTCCCTCATGAGTAGAACACGTTAGCGTAGTCGGGTGTCGTTCACATCGCCTTCTCAATCACTAGCTCAACTTCCCTTCCTCGTGGACACACTTGAACCGTGCCTTAATGAGACCTTGTGCGCGTCACGTTGGCCGTTTGAAATGATCGTAGAATGCCTAAAACAAGTACAGCTGCTAGGTGCTTACTACTTCGTAATTACTAAATGCGAAGAATTCTTATGTGTACTGCAACCACTTTTGGCCTGTATCTGTATATCTAGCCATTTACGTGTGGGTGCTCTTGTGATCAAAGTTAGTATGAGAGGGTAAGATGGTTCAATGAATATGACGTGCTGGTCAAGGTATCAGCAATGTCACAAACGTGTCGCGTACGTTGTCAAACACTTTCCGCCAGACAGTGACACATACCAGTGGCGAGTACGTGCAACTGGTATGCGGATATGCGCCACAGATGACTGACACGTAGAATCTAACCAGGAACAGCGAGAACACACACGGGTGATTTCAACACGTGAATGTTGAGAAAAAGGTGACATCGGCAGTGTTGACCCGATGAATGCGAAGAATAAATGCCAGGTGTAACAGCAGGAATTGAACCCCAGCATTCTGCGTGGCAATGAAATATTTTACCACAGAGCCACGCCAGGTCTCGGAACTAGTTTTTAGACCAATAGACCCTTTCACTGTTTACAAACACAGACCCTTGATGACATCCGGTTTCTTTCACCGATGTGCGTTAATAGCTTCGATCGGCAAGAAGAGCTTTAGAAAATAGCCTGCTCAATTTCTGCACTTTCCTTCTCTTATTTGACGAAGTATGTTCAAATAGAAGCTCTTTAGAGCTACATAAAAATTATAAATGGTCTCCTTGTACTTTACGCACGTTTATTTTATGGAAAAAACGAAAGAGAGACTTTCCTTACCCTTGAAAACAAGTTAAAAACGTGCTTTCAGTTTAGACGTTAAGAGCGGGTAAATGATGTGACCGGAAGTTGTTTTGCGTACAACGCTTGTTACCTTGAAACCATCTATAGACCCTAATGTTTGTGAAACGCCGATTGTGGTTGCAGTGCTGGCTAACCTATCTTACAAACATTACACATATGTAAACTTGTAATACAGCCGTCTTGTTGGGTTAACGTCAATTGTACATGTAGATGCCATCCGCGGAGGTCGATTTTCACATATTTTGACGAATCGTGCAATTGTACGCATCTGCCGCCGAGTGTCAGTTACGTTAATGAAACTGCTTGCACTAGATGACATTCCTGTAAGTTTCTTTCCAAAACAGTTTCGAGACCCGGAGAGGCTCTGCGATAGAACACGTACATAGACTGCGTTCGATTTTCACTCAAAGCCAAGTATTCTGTTTCTTTATTTCTGTATTTGCATCAATCTCCACTACACTCACAGAAACTTCGATTTTTTTTCCCGCTCACAACCGACAACCCCGCCACCAAAATTTCTTTGAAACGAGCTGTTTAACGCCGCTGGGTTATGACAGGGCAATATTTCTGCCCTGGATTCTTTCCAGCTCACGTCATTAGATAGAGATAACTAAAATTACTGACAAGTGTGGCCTTTTGGCGACACATGATATACTAGAAGAACGAAATGTATCACTATATTCTTTCCGACCCTTTTTCCCCTCCACTGTACAGGGTAGCAAACTAGTTCTTCTACGTTAACCTCCCTATCTCTTCATTTTATTTATTTCTCTCTCTCTCCTCCTCGAGGTACTGTATCGAGTGCTTTGCGTATAATTCATTACGAGACGACAAAATTCACAAGTACTGTCATGAGTTTAGCACAACTTTAGAACCGTTTCGCTTCATCCCGATCTTTTTCGTTAATTAGCACATATTTATTATTAAGGTGAGGAAACGAAAAAAAGAGGAGGAAGACAGCGCGTATTGGTCCATGATGGTAATTTCTCTTCACACTTCACGGACCGATGTTCGGCGTGGACAGATCAGCTATTAAAGATGACATGTATCATCACAGCTATGACCGGCTCTCTCAAAATCGTAGATATCATAGGCAGTTAGCCGGCCAAAATAATAAATCATGCAAGATCAATAGTTCTCTTTTTCAAGACGCAGTGACCTAACTGGTGGGATAACATTTTGAAATGACAACTCCAGTTTTTGTTTCCTTTTGGACAACAGCTCTCTTCATCACGTGAACAATTCAAAACTGACGAAGGCTGAAGTGAAATGCAGTTTTGCTTAACTGACACTTCACCGAGCTTTTAGGTGAAGGCGTTGACGGTCGCTCAATCGTTTGAAGCGTGCTTTCGGTTCAGTGCTCATGTGAACGCGTTTAGCACAACACTGCGTGTGACCATGACCCGAGAAATTCGGTTTATTCATCATGGTTTAAATGACAGGCACTGCTAAGATGCTGAAGCTTTAAGCCAGAATTTTGACAGAACTGTTTTGTTCACGCAAGACTTGGGCCTGAAGAGTAGATTGTTCTAAGTAAGTCACAGGAAATACTGCAGCGTTAATAACCACGGCCGTACTGCAGCGCTATACTTGCGATGGCGGGCGCACTCATTGCCCACTCAACCGAAACTGATAGACATTATTTGTCACTTTTCCAAAGCTCTCGACGAAGACACTGCAACGCAGATTTTCACTGTTTTTGAACAAAAACAAGTAAACGTGAAAGATTTTTTAAGGACTACTGCTAGGATAATTTTGCAGATTTACGGTGGATACTAGGCAAATAGCGCCGCAACGAGATTACGATTTTTACCAGTTGCGATGTGGTATAAGTGCTTTTACAGGCCTTACGAACATTAAATGCACTCGTATTGAAAAGAAAAAAGAACAGAGTCATAGATACCTCCAACTCCTTTATTACGGTTTTTCTCTTTTTTTTTCACACTGACAAGACACACTGTACACGCGTTCACTGAGTAGAGATTGCACACGAGGACATAGGAAAATTACCGTATCTCACTATATCTCCGAAATAACTTAGTAGAACTTGCCGTAGCCGAAGCCGTGACCATAGCCAAGGCCAAGACCGTATCCGTGACCAAATCCGCCATAGCCCAGACCGTGAGCGATTCCGTAACCATGTCCGAAACCATGTCCGAGACCGTAGCCGAGACCATAGCCGAGACCGTAACCATGTCCGTAGCCATGTCCGTAGCCGAATCCGTAGGCGGGAGCGGCGATGGCGACAGGGGCGGCGGCGACCTTAGCCACGGGGGCGGCGATGGCGACTGGGGCAACTGGGGCGACGGCGACCTTAGCCACGGGGGCAGCGGCGGCAACGGCGACTGGGGCGACGGGAGCGGCGACTACCTTAGCAGCAGCAACGCCGACAGCGGGCACAGCATGGTGAGCGTTGTAGGCAGCGGCGGCAGGGTGGGAGGCAGCGGTGCCGGGCTCGTTGGTTGCGATGTGGGCGCGGAAGCCGTGGCCGTCAGCGACGTACTTGACGACACGGACGCGACCGTCAGCGTCGGTCAGACCGTAGGAACCGACCTTGTTGCCCCAGGCGTCACCGGCCTCCTGGCGGAAAGAGCTGCCGCTGGTGTGGGCCTCCTTGTAGCCGAAATTGTAGTTTCCGTGGACCTACGGGTTCGAGGAAACGAGGGAGGGGGGATACAATGTTAGCATTGTTTACACTTGAGTCCAATAACTACCGTCGGGCAAAACTTTCCGCAAATGACTACAGCACAACTGTGAGAAACATTGGCATAGCACCAAGGAGGGTGAGGGATGGGGGGGGGGGGCATGTTCAACTCTGTCCATTGCTGAAGTGTTTCAGTTTCAAGGAGAGCTATAGGTAGGCTAGATAACGTTCATTCGTCTTCAGAATTGTTCTTAGTTAACACAGACACAGTACAGAATGAATAAAGTACAGCACACTCAACACCCAGTGCAATCCGTAAATAGCGCTCGATATTGTGTCTCATGTATTTCATTTTTTTTTTCATAGTGCCAGTAATAACTAAGCACACCTTTGCAGGTGTTTGAATTTTACATGTGTATGTGTACGAAGGCATGCGCATGCACAAATAGACACAAGAAGTGGTTATACTTTCTCTCTTCTCTCTCAGTAAATATTTCTAGATACGTCCCTGATGACAGTGATAGCCAATAAGACTGCAGTGTGTCAGCACCTCCTAAATTACGAGGGCTGCCTTTTTCATGGACTAGCATACACACATTCAGGTTAATAGAACAGAAGTATTCAATGACGTACCCCGTCGGATATCTGATGTCGATAGCAGATACAATGATACCTCTCCACCTAAGCAATCTGAACATAATTTGTGTAAGAGTTCTGCTACTGTAATAACTGCGCAAGCATACACTTGTGATCCTTTCACAATGAGCGAAACAGGGCGTGTTGTTTTCATTTCTGTTTATTCGTAGGGATACTCATGCATTGTCTGTGAAAGTCTGTACGTTGAAATAGGCTATTTCAAGCTATGCTGTATCATAAGGTGACCAGTTATTCCCGCGCTTACAGCTTTTGTCGTTATTGCAAGAGTGTTCTACGCACAAAACGTCACGACCACTACAGCACTTCCTTAGGAGGCAACCACAGAAGAACCCGTCTGCATTTCCAGTTCTTGATTTAGCGTGATTAAGCTCTTCCAGCTAGTTCCTCACGTGTTAACTGAAACGAATTGTGCTCTTGTAAGCTTCAGAAATGTCTGCCTAAAAATGTTCGCGTTTGATCGCTCACGCATCAGGGTGTCGTTATCAGAACTTGCTGAAGGACCCTTGAAGAAGGAAAAGGAAAGGTTTCGTATTCAATGAAGCTTGGCTCATTGCCGAAAACACGCTTGGAGACAGCACGTGCAGACGCCTCTTGGAATCAGAAGAGAACGTTTGCAGTTAACCGAAACTTCGTTTATACGATCCGAAAAAAACGTGACGTGCTTTAACCATCGTTAATCATTCTTCACACTGCCCATATTTCATGAACAACAGCCTTTACTCGAGAGCCTTCATAAGCGTTTACTTTCACTATCATCTGTGTTTGAAAGAGAAAACGAAATCGATCGGTGGTCGTAGCTGGCACAATGTGAGAAAAGGGAGACGTGTTTCTCCGCCGAAGCTGTCGTTGGTGCTCTCCTCTTCAACAGAAGTCAGCGTAATCACCAGTTAGAACCTTTTTACTGATTTTGAAGTATTGAAAACGCTTTACTCTATACACACGCTTCGTCACAATGGATAGCATAATTTGATCTTCATTTTCGCAACTTGAGACATTGTAGCGATTTTATGCTCACGTTTTTTCCTCGATGTGCGTTCGTAGCAGGTCTATCACTTCCGAAATATGAAAAAAAACAGTAGTCAAGAAATAATGCGCATATTGCGAAGACACCAGTTTTTAATGTAGGCGCTTTCGTAGAAATTCATTCGCATGAGGCACAAACTTAGCCACGAAAAAAAAATGTTAACTGGTGTGCGAATCTTCGCCTCACTTTTTCACACCAAAGTGAATGTCGGGATGATTTCATGTGGCTTCGCAAAACGCGCCGCATAAAAAGTACAGCTGGTGACTCCTTTGGCAGGCTAAAGCCAGCCCCAAGAAGTAACCACGTGCGCTGATGCGCGTCAATTCAGTAAGGTAGCAATGTTAATGGTTTGTTTTCGATCATGCCAAACAAGCGCGAATTTTCTTGTCTCAATTCTATCATGGCCGTCAGAAGTGTGCAACCTTCGACAAGCATAACCACTGAGCAAGTGTAAAAAGTTTTAAAAAGTTATACGAAATATGAAATGCTGCATTCATGTGGGTGGCATCAAGCCTTGTCAAAATAAAACTAAGCTCGTTACCGTCGGTGACACCAGTTTTAGCGCAATAGTCTTAGTGCTCACACCTGAAAAAAAATACAACTTTGTGTTAAAATGAACCACCAATAAAAATTAGGAGTGCATTGGATCTGAAAGCGGGGACTCCGCGCCCACTATGCCGCAGCATGTGACGTAAAGTCTTTGCTAAAGCGAACGACAGCCGCAGCCGACGCTGGTGGTATATAGGCCTGGGATTCATCCAACAACGCTGTGTCCCACCTCTATAGTCTCGCGAAACAAACGCCGCCCGCATAAGTGTCACAGCGTTGTGCGTACAACGCAGAGGTGCTGCCACACTCAATCAAGCGGACGAATGTTCTGCCTTGTTTCTAGTTTCCTTCGTCGGTCTGACAGCCAGTTACTCTGCTCCGTGTGATTGCCGAGGCGAGAATTTCGTCATTGCGGTTACGGGATCGATCTCGCACCGCGCTTGAAGAGTACGGGATTCGCTCGCGGAACCGTTCTCAGCAGGGAGGCCTGACAACGAAGCGTTGCGAAACGTCAAGAGGGTGTTGCTCGGAAGGACGAACCGTGATGCTTCAGACGCTTCTTTCCCCGAGAGATCTCCGGTAGCGACATGCTTTGCTTCGTCTTCGTAGACTCCCCTTCCATTTCCTGGTACTTTGGGCTTGCAATATGTCTTTCTTCTTGCGCCATTTTGCATGAACACTGTAACTGACACATCCGGTATTTGCTGATGCATGCTCGTAGTTGCCGAATTCTTTTACCGTAAATGATGTAATATGCAGACTGCTATGGGGTTACTTCGCTAAAGTCCTATGCAGTAAATACCATCTGTCCACTGCTTATTGAAGAGCAGCTCCTTCCCTCACTCTCTCTTTCTTCGTCCTCCTCCATCCTTTTATCTCTCGCTTTATATATTTTAAGTAGCTATACCACGTCGTTCAGCAAAGGTTTCCGGCCATTAACGACTAGCATACCAATTAATGTGACACTGCTGTCGTCCGCCGCTGTGCCTGCTGTGCACATTGTGCTCTGATTCAGAGCTGAATCGCATACAACGACGTATAACCAAATGTTTTTAACATACTTTAAAGAGGTCGACCTGCATTATTCGCGTGGATATTGACTTGCAGTTTTGTTGAGGTTGTGCCGAAGAGTCTGTTAGCAGAAAAGATAGCGAATATGTAACGCATTCGTATAGAATGTGCACGTACTAGCCTAATGAAACACATGGTGTTAGACCTAAAAGGCATTCGTAAACTTTAACAGCAGCCATAAATAATGTGTCCAATCTCAATTCGTTACGCTAATGCTCCACAGACATATTTACGCCTACAAACTGAAATGCGTGGCAAAAATTTTGCACCGTCACTCACGGATCTTTAGAGTTCAACGCTTATGGTGCATTCAGACGACGGACCGAATCCGGATTTGTCGTGGACGCGGACAGCTAATCCGCGGATGGTCCGCCTGCAGGTGCATCCACACGACGGACGGTGTCCTAGGGGAAGACAGCCGGATTACCCTCGACAGCAGATTCGGTGCTCACCTGCGCCCGCTGGCAGCAGACCGGTTTGAGAGTATTCAACATGGATGCCCGCAAGAAGCGAAGCTTGGCTGCGATGTCTGTCGTGTTGTGACAAATGAACGAGTAGTGTTATTCTTTCAGGAGAAAAGGGAGTTGCTAGCAGGATATTCTTTCAACTACATTATTCCCCACTTGTAGAACTTCTAAACGTGTCTCCCGCCTTTTTTTTTTTAAGAAGCGGCACGTCGCCGGTTGCAGAAGTTGGAATATTTCACCACCATGACGGCTAAGAATCTCGCGTGTTGAGCGACGGCGGCGACATTTCCCGAACCACCAAAAGTGATTTCTGCACATTTAATCACCTGAGAACAAAGTCTCCGGAAAAAAAGTAAACAATGCTCAAGCGTAGATGATGCCGACCAGTCATGCAGCTGTCCGCGAGCCATGAAGGACATGCCGCGAGCAGACGAAAAGTGTACTGGTTGCCACCGACCCCAAGCTATTCCGCTGAAGTACCGGCTCTCCCCCGCCAGAATCCCGATGTGAGAAACAGGTTGGGTTCATCCGTCCGCGAGCCGCGCGGACGAGTCGCGGACGAGGGGAATCGCTGATGTGAGGTCACGTGACGCGCCGTCCGTCCCGCCACATCGGGATTCGATCCGTCGTCTGAATGCACCATTAAGGTCTGACCCCAGGCACCCGTCACAGCGCGTCAGCGCATGGAATTTTGACGCGGCGCCTTTCCTTCTCCCTATTGAGAGAGCGGGCATGCAGTTTCACGTAGCCACGTGCTTTCTCCCCCTATAAAGAGAGGGCGCGGCCCCGCGTTGGAAATGCCCGCGCTGACGCACTGCGGCGCGTTCGTGTGGTCAGGCCTTTAGGCGCCCGCTCCTGCGTTGAGCGGCGCCGACGTCATCGTGACCGCCACAGTGAACGAGGACGAAAGAGAGCTGAAATACGTGGCGCAAGATTGCCAAAGAGAAGATCGAGAAGAGACAGAATAATAAATGACACCTAAACAGCTGCGCTCGAAATTTGCATTGGCAGTATTTTAATTATAAATTTTGTAGCAACTTTGTCAAGTTCAAAATTATCTGCCCGCTTTTATACAACTGAGTTGCTACAATAAGCATTAAATATTTACTAATCTTTGCTGTGAAACCAAACGTTGAACTTTCATAAACGAGATGAATTATGCCGGCACCAGCAGTGCGCTATCGTCAGAATTTGAAGTTCCTACGGCCGACAAAAAATATTGGGGCCAAATTCAGAAAGCTATTTTCAAGGTGTATATCATAATTCAGTGGTCGCCACCGGTATGATATGTCCTGCATTATGATTACCTGAAATCCTCTATAGCGAACAATTCCAACGGGTGAGGTCTTGCGAATACCAGTGATAGATATTTCACCCTCTGAATATGCCTAGCCCTAGCGGCAGGTGACTTTGGGAGGTACTATAGGGTTCGCCTTCGTTGCCAATATTGGTAGTTGTTTTATCACAGCATTTGAAGGACAATGATAGGCGAATAGGCCTACGTGTGAACGGATGTTATACGACAGTGTGATAACTCGCCACTAAAAACAAAGCGTGCGTTCACTCCAGTGGGGTGTGTAGTACAGAGCACACGTAAATGTATACTCACGTCCTGGGAGCGGTGCTGGGAGGAGTGTCCAGCCTCGGGGACGGCAGCGACAGCCACAGCAGCGTGGCCGTGGCCGACGAGCCCGGCACGGGCGACAGCGACAAGGGCGAGGAGGATGACAGCCTGTGAAGTCAGAAAAAGATAATTTTTTGAATGTTCACGAATTTTCCAATAGTCCTTAAGCCGCCACTTAGAACGACCGAGCAGAGGCACAGAGCACTGGGAATCGACTGCTGATGAATCTCAAGTACTGTGTATCAGGCTTTCGAGTTGTAATTTGTTCTGCTACCGGCTAGAATATCGACAGAACTTTCGTGTTGGGCGTTCGTGTTAAAATTCTATGTAAACTGATACAGAAAGATAGGATAGGGAACGAGTTCACAGAGTGGAAATTATGACGCAGGTGCGTGCCCTGCGAGATATCCTTTTTAAAGGCATATTCATGTGTACTGAAAGTCTAAAGCAACTTAAGTTAGTAAGTTAAAGAACTGCTTACATGCAATGAAAGTCTATTGAAAAGACAAACCAAATCTTGCTTGGGTCGTGGAAATACTAACATTGAACATACGTAGGAGATGAGTGGGAATAGGAAGTATGTGCCTAGTATGACAAAAGAAGATTGTAAATGTTGGACGTGGTCATTTGCTCACTGTATGCTAAATAACATTAAGGAAGTCAATATAATACTTATCTTTACATAAAATGAAACAGTTGGTATGACAGATACCTGCGTGTCGACTTGGTCATAACCCGGAATCTCATTATGATCAAATGAATTCTGATATGATGTCAGTTATATTTGGTATAGTATATGAGAAAGAAATATTGGAAAACAGAAGCTGTCAAATCGTTCAACTGTTCTTTCTTCCTCACATCTCTTGAACGAAAGTGGTAATGTTCTTTCAGCCAGGTAGCATTCGGGGAACGTACATAAGGTGGTTATGTTAAGTAGCAGCGTGAATACCGTAGCGTTACAATGACTTCAAAGGAGATGAACATGAACTTTTTTCAGAAACAACGATAAGTGTTATTCTTTTGGTGGCAACCATGCTAGCAGTATTTGACCCTCGCCCGTCATTAGAATAATGAAAACATGTGGATCTACTTATATGACATCAATTACGCTATCATTAAAATTGATTTGACAGCATTTCAAAGAGCGATATAGTTCGACTGTCTAATCTAGAAGCTCATATATAATCACTATCCGCTGATGGGTTTTGGGCTCGTCCTTCGCATTGGGATATCGTTCCTGCTTGATATCGATACGCCATATTGGAAGTACTGCAACTGTCAAGCCATCAGCCATCAATACGAGATAAAATTAATCACGAAAGTCCCTTGACTAATCCAATGCATTGCAGCCTGTTGATAGAGCGCGCCGTGCACTGTCCGTATAATCCAACGTCCAGAGGTGGCGGCTGAAGCATTGCGGTAGCGCAGTGGCCGAGGAAGTGCTGTTTGTAGCGTACCTTCATCGTGGGACCTGCTGCTCTGATCCGGAGGAATCGACAGAAGTGACAGACTGCTGCCATGGCACTCCTTATATATTCCACCGAACCACTGCGTCCACTTCGGCGCGTGTGACGTCACAGCATCGAAGAGGGGGGGGGGGGGGGTGCACGAAACCCGGGGGCAAAAAGATCGAGACATAGGAGGGGTGGAAAGGGCGATCATTATTGCGTGGATAGCCTGCGGGTCTATATCCCAGTGTCCAAAACTCTTGACCTGCAGCCATGGAAACCCCTCCGCAGCGCTTAGCTTGGCTTTCGCCTCCGGAATGGTCCTTCACTGCTTCGCACTGTGGGGGGTAATACGCCCCTCGATACATTCTTCATTCTCACCCACACTCTTGCTGGCATAAGCGTTGTTACGATATCACTGGTATACCTACCTGTTCTGGCGCAGAAAAAAAAAGAAAAAAGCCAGTACCTAGCGAGAGGTTAGCGCGAGGTTATCGCAGACAAAGGCTGGGCAGAGCCCACCCCCGAGGGGAAGGGCGACCGTCACCGCTCACAGCTGTCGCTCGCGCCCGCCGATCGGGGCATGCCGCGAGAAACAACTCGGCGGGTCATTTACGGTCCGCTCGATCGTTGTTTCTGCGCTCTTGTTCTTTCAATTGGCGAACGCACGGCGAACCTTGACAGTCGTGTGGCTATCTTAGCCCCCCCTCCCTCTACCTCCCACCTCTCGCATCAAGAAGGAGGCGTGCGCATACGCGAAATGCCTGAGGTGCAGGGTGGGGTCTGAGACCGCAGGAATGCCCTTCAAGTTTCTCGGTCTTCGACCAAAAAATGAATATATGCAAGCACTTTGCCTGCCGTAACGAGCTATTCCGACCCCCTCTTTCCTCACGCTGTCGGGCCTACAGGCTTTTGGCCACTTTGGCTGGAATAGGAGCGAGACAAAAAAAAAAAAAATAATCGATCAAACGTATGTGAGCGCGAGCATATGTTATTTGTTCCTTCTTCGTTATTTCTTCTTTCCGTCCTCTTCCCCGAGTGCTTGTGTATGCTCGTTGCATTTTGTGTAATGGCTGGCTGTAGTATCAGTTTCTGCTCAGCGCTTGTACAGAGCAGGCACGTGTCTGAAAGGAGCGTGCTATAGGTCGAATTTGTTCTCGAGCAAGTGTGGTCGACAGGAAGATTGATTCGCTTTTCTTTTCTCGCACTTTCGGCGGTGAGTTACTTCGTCCAAAATCGGGCTATCTAGAGGCTCGTGCTCGCGCGCGAGTGAACAGATAAGATGCTGCGTTTTTCTAGTGAAAGTTTGGAACTGGATCGAAAATCGGTCGATTGCACGCTGTAAGAGAAAAAAGAAATTGAATCTAGATAGCTGCGATTTTATGTGTGTCAACGCTGCCTTATCTCATCATCTGTGTCTTGGTCTCTCTTTTCAATTAAGGTTAGTAGACACGATGCAATTGTGTAAGGTTACCCCGGTATAGTTTTCTAGAGCGCCGATCGCGGGGCATTGTTTGAGGGTGTGACCACCCAAATTGCTGTATTGTGTAGGGCGCAGTAGAGTCATTGCTGTTGATAAACGTCACCATAATTTCGAAAGAAAGGAACAGAGGTAGATTTGCTTAAAGTTTTTCGCCTTTTCCAGTGAACAACTTTCAATTTCAGTCACAAAACGGGAGTCCAGCTAAGCGTTACTGACCTGGGCCGAGGTGGCTGGTCTTCCTTGCACGCCTGTCCAGAGCAGGACTATTGAAGAAAGTATTTGTGAACAGTTTGTACAGAATCTCATGCGCAACATGCTTCTTTGCGTTTGTCATGCGCACATGTTGATTTATTTCGAGCTTATTAATAAATTCCTGGAGCTGTCCAGCAACTTAACGCCATCGTTGACCAGCAGTGACTATGTTTTAGGAAAAGAAATTATAAGAAAACGTTCTCAAGTTCAGTCGCATTCCGAAAGCAAATCTGTGTATTAACTTTCTGTATCATTAAAACATAATATGGATATGTTATGGTGGTCCTTGTACACTATTGATCCCATGTCACAAACTTATCAATTATTTTTAGTATTTTATTTATAAGGCAGTAAGACGATTATAACACAGAATTATATTATAACACACAATTATAACACAGACCGAGATCAGAAAGCAACAAGTTTCAACTGTGTATGGAAAATATTTCTTTAGTTTTGGTATAAAAATGTACAGCTAATGATTGGCAACAAAAGCAAGAGCATCAGATGTTACAAATCAGCATATTAGAAGTTATTAAGCAAGCATTTCGTAGTTTAGGATTTCCCGTGTAAGTAACTCCGTAGAAATATAGCAGTAGTGGAACAGGAATGCAATGAATAACCGCAAAGCAAAATAATATAACACATATCAATTATGCAGGGAATCGTTCCCATAGAGAGGTAACTTTTTCCTAATACTTTCGTTAAATCTTCGCTGAAATTCTCATGTTTTTTTTAACGCGATGGAATACGAAATGTCGAAATGCAAATATAATGATCAAAAACAAACAAAACATTAGTAACTTTTCTTCAAGTGTCCCACACCCATGTACATCCTTTATGAAGTTCATGTCACGGCTTCCCGCTGGTACTGGGTATTCATTGTTTTCCTATTAACAGTGTTTTTTCAATGGCATGCACGATTGTCTTGTTACCTGAAGGAGGTGTCGTGCAGGTATAAGACAGATCAGTATGGATGGGACTATAGACTCTAAAAGTTTTTGCACCCTTAAGAGTGTATTTTCTTTTACAGGAAACATCTTCTAGGGTGTTTATAAACTTTGTAGAATATTTTCTTACACCCCTTAAAAACTTAGGGTGCAAAAAGACGTTACACTCTATTTTTATAGGTGTTTATGAACATCCCTAATTATGAGTGTTAGAATAAGCTACACTAGTGCGAGTGTGGTGTAACACATAAAAGCACCCTTGAAACGATGGCAGTTACACAGATAAGCATACTTGATCAAATAAGCGCACATAACGAGACAATAAAACGAGACGCACAAAATGAAACGCTTCATCCTGTGTGTTTCTTATATTTTTTTTGCCTCTTTCATAGCATTTCATTCCATCAAATTTGCATCCCCAACTGGCCCAAGCCTCAACTGTTCTAAGGGAGACGCACAGATGAACTTTCTTCCCTGGGGCTGACACTTATGCAGCCGAGAAAATAATGTGCTGCGGCCTTGAATGAGGTGCATAACATCAGTGTATATATGTGTACAGGTAGACTGGGCCAAAATTGACAAAGTGAGACGTGACAGACACATAACACTCACACGCGCGCGCGCGCGTCCACTCATGCACGCACCACACCACAGTAGTGCGAGCAGTAAGCTGTCGCCTAAGGTTGAACCGAACATAACGTAAAAGTAAAAAAAAAAGTGAGACCAATATTTTCATATCAGCCTTTTTTTATATGAAAAAACTGCAAGAAGTCTGAAAAACAGGAACTTGACGGCATTCCGCGAAGTTTTGAAATCTTCCAAGTGACAAATTACTGGGGGCTCAACTCTACTAGAAATTCATTCTTTTAAATGCAATAAATCCCCATAACCTCTTTCAAAAACCTTTGCGCAAATAGCTAGGAGGTTTGACGTTGAATGACGCATATACAACAACAAAATAAAAAAAACGCGTAGAAAGAGTAAGCGAGTGTTGCACTATTTCTGGATACTTGTTCACAACCCAATATATGTCATAGTATAAACTTCGACTAAAGAAGCAAGACATTTGATAAGGTAGTGTAATTGTGGTTGGATTATTCTGATGTGATTGTTGATACACTTCTAATTGCAATATCACAGCTCGTTACAGCCACTTGCTCAATCATTTTCAGCTGCCGAGATGACTGATTGCATCGTGAGAAGTGGGGCAAGGCTGTCTTTTCTGAACTGTAAATTCAGTCCTCGAAATCTGAAATAACTACTCAAGGAGCAATGACCAAAAGTTTCCCAAAAAGTGCAACAAACATTATGTACCCTGCATGACTCACACCTTTCTTAGTTATGTGTAAGCATAAATGCAGTGCATATCCAGCATATTCAGTGACATCTGGCTCCATTGCAGTTAGCAATGTAAGAAAGGGTATGCTGCTGAATAAATGCCATAAAAAGGGCGTTGTGGCAGAATTTTTATACCCTTAATTTCGTAGATATGAACGTTACCTTACGCTTCCAGCTTGCTCGCGCAGTCTGATAGACAGGTGCTAATGTTCGAAGGCGGTAATGTTCCAATTGCTATATGCGTCGACCAAGTCTGAGTGAAAGTTCTAAGCTTAAGTATGCATCAACACACACACACATGTGTATTTTTTCAGAACTACTATAGTACTCATAAGACTTGATTCTTACAATGAAAGCAATGCAATGTACAACGAATAAATAATTTATATTGCACAAAAGCACAATGCCACTGAGCATACAAGATTTGGGTGCACGTTAAAGAACCCCAGGTGGTCAAAATTACCGGAGCCCTCCACTACGGCGTCTCTCATAATCAAATGGTAGTTTTGGGACGTTAAACCCCACAAATCAATCAATCAATCAATCACTGAGCATACAGGACAGTATGCACAATCATAAGGTATCAAGTGCAGATAACATGTAAAGTTGTGTAGCATGTAGTTATGTGGTTTATTGCGAATAAAGCTAGTCTTCTTCATGTGGCTCAAATTTATACAATTATATTATGTAGGAAATGGCTAGTCTATCATTCCACTCCAAACGCCTCATTCATTTTGGCGAATATCACAAATGTGTTCGAAAAACACTCGTGCTGATATAATGCATTGCAAACAGTGAACTGGTAGAATATTGCGGCGAGAAAAGTTTTTTGGTCACGTGGTTGCCCCGTGAACTGTTGCGTTGTACTATGTATTTGAATCGCAGTGAGCATTTCGACGATGCAATACGGACAGCACGAGCTGCTAGTCAGAGCGCGTGAGTGTAATATTTAAGAGCAAAATTTAGCGCACCTGTACCTTCCTAAGGACGTTTGGTAACGAAAGAGTTAATGCGGTGCTTCACAACGCTGGTTTGACCTAGCGGACG